CTCTCAGACCTGGTGTTTTTGCCTGTTGCTGAGGGAAGGAACACCCATTGTCCTTTTCTAGTGACTGAATTGGTTTTTGTGAGGGACAACCCCCAGCCCCAGCCCAAATCTGCTAATCTTTGGATAGTTGAGCTTAGCCAAAGAGGATGACAGCTTATGGAGGAGATAGGAGTTTTTGGGCTTTGTCTGTGAGGGTTCCCGCCCAAAGAGAGGCAGAACACGGGGCGAGGGCAATCTTTGCTGTCCAACCCAAGGAATTACAGAATTGTATTCTCCACCTCCTCCTCTAGAGTAAAGGTGGCATCCTCTCTAAAGCCTGCGACTACATCCGTGAATTGCGCCAGACGAACCAACGCATGCAGGAGACCTTCAAGGAAGCCGAGAGGCTTCAGATGGACAACGATATGCTACGACAGCAGGTAGCTTAGCTCTTGGCACTGCGGCTCCCAGCCTTGTCACAACAACCTGTTAAGGTAGCACAGGCTGAAAAAGATCAACCGGCCCATTGAATATGACATCATGGCTTCATGGGGATAAGAGCATGAATTTCCCATGTCCCGCTCCAGTTTTTCTATTGACACTTTTTGACCACACTGTCTCTTATAGTCTTTCACCGTCACTAAATTATGTGTATATAAAATATATATATAGTATATAAAACAAATATAATTAGCTAATTGTGTGGTGCAGTGGTTAAACTGCAGTACTGCAGACAAGACTCTACTCATGACCTGATTTCAATCCGAATGAGATGAGGTAGCCGGCTCAAGGTTGACTCAGCCTTCCGTCCTTCCGAGGTTGGTAAACTGAGCATCCGGCTTGCTGGTGGAGGGGGGGATAGACTGTTCCTTGCATAATTAAGTTGTAAACTGCCCAAGAAGTGTTTTAGGACCACAGGGCAGTATATCGGTTAAAAGTGCACATTAATTAAATAAATAAAGCGATACTTCACTGCATGGGTGGGGCTGTGTACAGCCTGCATGTAGCACATGGTCTCCAGGGCCATTTCGGAGGCCCGTCATCCCGCAAAGACATTGCCATCAAATCCAGACAGAAGCACACATTTGCTTCTGGAGGCATCCAAGAGTAACTAGTTTTGTAGTCAATGAATCTCAGTTGCTAAAGGGGACCGGGAATGGAAAACAATTAAAACCCAAAACCAATGTCTGATTGCATCTTGTTTTGATGCTTTGTTTATTATTTTGGGACCTTTTTGCAGCTGTCACAGGGGGTTAGGGTGGGGCGGGGTGCCTGTAGTAGCAAGCCCCCTGCTTTCCTTTTGGTGAATTAGGTATCTGTCTGTTGATAGAAACAGATAGGTGTTCTCCTAAAAGAACACCTGATGCTTGAACAGAGAGGTTCCAGGCGTAAGTGTACAGTGGTGCCTCGCATAACGAGCGCACCGTTTAACGACAAATCCGCATAGCGATCTATTTTTTTGGATCACTAATGCAATTGCATTGCGATGTTCTGAATGGGCAAACATCGCATTGCGATGATCGGTAAGCATTTCGCTTACCGATCTTCGCATTGCGATGTTTTTAGAACAGCTGATCGGCGGTTCCAAAATGGCCACCAGGTGCCCAAAATGGTCGCCGCAAGCATTTTCGCGGGCTGCCCTTGCTTACCGAGGTGGAGTAAATGGCGGCTCTATGGAGGATCTTCGCTGAATGGTGAGTTTGGGCCCCATAGGAACACATTAAACGAAGTTTAATGCGTTCCTATGGGGTTTTTAGTTCCGTTTAGCGACGATTCTGGATAGCGATGATTAATCTGGAACGGATTAACGTCACTATGCGGGGCACCACTGTACTCCTAAAAGAGCTGAGCAGAGTCCAGGTAATCCAGCCAGGCAGTACCACTTACCCTTTTCTCAAGTCTGTTCTAAAAAAACAATTAATTGAGAGCAAACAAAACTTAGACTAGTAATGGACTTGAGTAGCATCTCTGTGGCCTGTCACTTTATACTTGCAGATTTGCTGTTCAAGAGACCAAATTTAGGATTTTAAGAATTATTGTTTTATTAGAAAAATAAAGAATTTAGAGATATTCAAAAGCATAGCATGTTAGTACATTTCCATAAATCAAAGCAGTTAGAATCTTAGCAAATTGCAGCTACAAAAATAACATTAAAAACTCTAAAATAGCTTAGAAGGTAGGCTAGGCATAGCCCCCCTTTCTCTAACCTTACTCTGAACTACATCTTAACATAGCAGTAAAAACTAGCATTTGGAACTCAAAAATCCATCTTAAAATCAATAGTAAAAATCATTCTAAAATCCAAGCCCTCTCTTTCTGTCTCCATTCTCCATTTTTCTTTCATGCTGGGACCCCCCTTCTTCTCCACTGTTCTGTGATGTTAACCGATCAGCGTAAAGGGCTGCCTCTTCACACACCACCTCCATTTCCCACGGGGATGTGCAGGTGTTGTTGTCCTTGGTCAAGATGTTGTGTCTTGGCTCCTTATCTCTGGCCAAGGCAGCTTCATGGAAATTTCCAGCTCGCTCGAGGAGAAACAGCTTCTCAAAGCATCCAGTCATGCTAACACAGACCACTATGGATTCCTTCTGCAAAATTCCGTGACTACAAATCCCATTCATAAACCACATTTTAGCCTTAATATCCTAAACCATGACAGTGGCCAAGATCTCAAAAGAGGGGGATAAATCTGTTTGCTGGGATGGGCCACGGAGGTGGGGGAACTAAGCCTCCCAGCCTTCCACATTGATTATCCTGACAAGGGCTGATGGGAGTTGTGGTCCAACAACCATTAATCCTGTTGTTTTTTGCCTCTCTCCCTTTCCTTTGTCCTCCCCAAACCCCTGACCCCGGAGAACAGATTGAGGAGCTGAAGAACGAGAACGCCCTCCTGAGAGCGCAGATGCAGCAACATGGGATCGAGACTGTGGGGGACGCCCCAGGGCAGTAACACACACACACACAAACACACCTTTGCTTTGCCACTGCCTCTCCGTACGGGATCTCCACCTCCAGTTCGACCGGTCCTTTTTGTATAAAGAAAACGCCTCTTTCTGAACGAACTTTGGCTGGATCCCTCTCGTTGGGTTGCGGGGGAGATGATGGAAGGGAGGGGAAACTTTGTGTGGGGAGGGGGAGTCAGAGAGCCTGCTCACCTGGACAATTGGCCACACCTGCCCCCCCAAAACACCCGTCCGACTCCCCTGGCCCTCAAATCCATCCCCTGAAATCCTGCTCCCACCCTCCTTCCCTTTCCTTAGGATATATTAATATGAAACAGACAAGACCTACATTTTTATAGTAGATTTTTAACACAGGTTAGCTGATTTTTTTTTTTTTTACTTTTTCCTCTTTGTTGGATCTCTGGGCAGGGGTATTTCCCCCCACCCACCCACCTTGTCTGTTTTGAGCCTTGGATTCTCTCTTCTCTGACAGCTGTGCATTTCTGAGTCATGCTAACCAGGGGGCTAACTCGACAGATTCTTTGGGGCGATGGCCGTAAAGACGTTTGGGGGGGGCAAAGAAAGGAGGAAAGTGCTCAGCTTCTCAGGTTTGGCTGCTGAATGAAGAAAGCAGGGTTTTTTGGCTTTTCTCTCTTGAGGTCCAAAAACAATGAATTAATTTGTTGATGATCTTAAGACAGCCCCCTTGCCACGGTCAAAGCAGTTCGCCTGCTTTGGAAATGGCCCAAAGTAAATGCCTCTTGTGTTCCAAAGCACATGAGGGTTGGCATGCGCAACCTGTGCGCGCATGCACCCGTTGCATCCATTTATACTGCAGTCCACACTCAGTAACACCTTTTGCCTCTTCTCTGTCTGTCCACTGACATCTTTCAACACGATGCCAAAACTCAGATGGTTTCTTTTCGAGGCCCAATGGAAAACAATCCATAAAGCCCCCCCTTTTTTAATTTAATCCTATCCCTCTCTGTCTCTCTTTTGTTCCCTCTTCTTGTAAGTATTCTTTATTTTATTAGTTTTCAGGTGCGTTTGTATAGAGGTACGTTGTTTGTATGATAGCTGAAACCCAGGCTGTTAGGGAAGTTTTTAGTGGTGGATTGAATTGACAACAGGGTTGCTTTTGTGTGTGTTTTGATATTATATAATTTTTTAATTCAGCAGTGTTTTAGGAATTCAGGTTTAAAAAAAAAAAGAATAAATCAGGAGATGAGTTTTTAAAAAAAGAAATAATCTCCAATATTTATAATTTTTCTCCCCTGCTTCCAGATTTTTTTAAAGAAAAAAAAATAAAAGAAGGAATTGTTCCTAAAATGCTATAATAATAATATTATTGTAATAGCAAGTACTTTAGGTTTGACTTAAAAAAAAAGGAATATCTATATATACCAGTCCCTCTGAAAAAAAGAACGGGAGAAAGAAGAATAATCCCAAGATTACAGCTCGGTTTCTAATATTCCAACCTTTTTGAATGTAAAGAGAAGGAGGGGTGAGGTTAAATCAAGGGAAGGCATAAATGGTATATTATAAAAATATAAAAGATTAATGAGTGGCTTGCGGAATTTGATTGTTGGAAAGTAGAAAATAATTCTGTTTATATATAAAAGGAAAAAAATCTTCACAGAAATAACATTGCATCAAATCATTGTGTGGATCTACAGCTTTTGTTTGTGTCTTGAATATGGGGAGAGAATGAAAGGATTGCACCCTTTCTCCTCTTTCCTGCACACCCCCTTCATAGGAATGGGATCCTGGGTAACAGTTGTGAAACCAGCCCATCTGTTTGGGTCCGTATTGTAAGAAGAGATGGAGCCATGTGCTCAGATTCTTGCTGCGACTCAGCACTGCGTCCTCGAGATTCGCATTCACTGGGTAAAGTGACAGTGACATACAGTGCTGTTGCACTGGGCAAAGTGAAGACTGATTTGTTGTTGTTTAGTAGTTCAGTCGTGTCCAACTCTTTGTGACCCCATGGACCAGAGCACGCCAGGCCCTCCTGTCTTCCACGGCCTCACGGAGTTGGGTCAAAGTCATGTTGGTCGCTTCGGTGTCCCTGTCCAACCATCTCATCCTCTGTCGTCCCCTTCTCTTGCCCTCACACTTTTCCAACATCGGTCTTTTTCAAGGAGTCTTCTCTTCTCATGAGATGGCTAAAGTACTGGAGCCTCAGCTTCAGGATCTGTCCTTCCAGTGAGCACTCGGGGTTGATTTCCTTTAGAATGGATAAGGTTTGTTCTCCTTGCAGTCCAGGGGACTCTCAAGAGCCTCCTCCAGCACCACAATTGAAACGCATCAATTCTTCAGCGGTCAGCTTTCTTTATTGTCCAGCTCTCACTTCCATACATCGCTACTGGAAAAACCATAGTTTTGACTATGTGGCAAGGTGACGTCTCTGCTTTTTAAGATGCTGTCGAGGTTTGTCATCACTTGCCTCCCAAGAAGCAGGCGCCTTTTAATTTCTTGGCTGCTGTCACCATCTGCAGTGATCATGGAGCCCAAGAAAGTAAAATCTGTCACTGCCTCCATATCTTCCCCTTCTATTTTCCTGGAGATGATGGGACCAGCGGCCATGATCTTAGTTTTTTTGATGTTGAGCTTCAGACCATTTTTGCGCTCTCCTCTTTTACCTTCATTAAGAGGTTCTTTAGTTCTTCCTCCCTTTCTGCCATCAGAGTGGTATCATCTACATATCTAAGGTTCCTGATATTTTTTCCAGCAATCTTAATTCCTTCTTGGGATTCCTCCAGGCCTGCCTTCCGCATGATGGATTCTGCATATGTTAAATAAGCAGGGGGACAATATACAGCCTTGTCGTACTCCTTTCCCAATTTTGAACCAATCAGTTGTTCCATATCCAGTTCTAACTGTTGCTTCCTGTCCCACATATAGGTTTCTCAGAAGATAGACAAGGTGGTCAGGCACTCCCATTTCTTTAAGAACTTGCCATAGTTTGCTGTGATCCACACAGTCAAAGGCTTTTGCATAGATAGTCAATGAAGCAGAAGTAGATATTTTTCTGGAACTCTCTGGCTTTCTCCATAACCCAGTGCATGTTAGCAATTTGGACCCTAGTTCCTCTGCCCCTTCGAAATCCAGCTTGTACTTCTGGGAGTTCTCGGTTCACATACTGCTGAAGCCTGCCTTGAAGGATTTTGAGCATAACCTTGCTAGCGTGTGAAATGAGTGCAATTGTACGGTAGTTGGAGCATTCTTTGGCACTGCCCTTCTTTGGGATTGGGATGTAGACTGATCCTTTCCAGTCCTCTGGCCACTGCTGAGTGACTGATAGTCACCCTCTCCTGACTTTTAGGAAATGGTTATGTACCATCTCGTTGCCTCCAGTTTAGGGCACCCATGCTCCACTCTTGAAAACTAATTTCTCCCAGATTGCAGTGGTTCTTCTTGGCCTGTTTTGGGCTCAAGGGGGTGGGGTAACTCCAAACCAGAAGTGATTATACTTAATTCCTTTTAGGGGCGGGGGAGGCGAGAGACTCCTCCAGGCCTAATCAGGAGGCCTTAAAAAGACTTTAAAATGTGCAGCTCATGGACCTACTAATGCTGCCCACCTGTGCTTTAGACATTGTTCTACTACAGTTCCAATGTGCCCCTACTTAGGTCGGGCCATCCAGTGCTTGAAAATGTTCCTTTTTCTTTCTTTTATTTTCATTTCGTTTATTTATTTATTTGGAACCGCAGTCCCCAGAGATCTCTAACCAGCTGCAGAATTTTGGTAGATACAGTGGTTGTTTTTTAATCACATTTTAAATTTCTACATTTTTTGGAAGTGGCGGTCAAAAGAGGGTGCGATTGAAAATTTAGCTTCTGGAATCCACTCACCTGGGCGGCCCATGGTTAGGAGACTGTGGGAGTTGTGTTTCACAAAAACAGGTAGCTTTCCTGCCTTCTGGGAAGGTTTGTGGCCCACTTTGACGGAGAAATGGTCAGTTTCACTTGCTCGGATGCTCAGTTTCGGAAAAATAAAACTCGGTCTCTTTTCCTCCTCCTGTTGATGGAGCAATGTGTGAATTTGAGTAACTTGGTGTCAGAAATGAACTGAGCAAAACTCTTTCCTGATTGTGCTAGCCGCATTCAATAAGTTACATTTTTTCAGGCTCGGGAAAAACATCGGTTGCACCTCCTTGTCGTGGAGGTGTTAAAAATGAAGAACCTGTTCTAGAGGGAAGGGAAGTATCTACTCAAATCCAGCAAAAGATGCTATGAATACATAAAGCTTGAGTCAGACTTGTGAGCACTCAAAGTTCTCTTGATTCTGAATAAGTGGGTGAATGTTTCCATTTTGCATTTTCCCACCTTAGATCTTGGAGCTGTTATTAATTTTCCAGAACGATCCGCTTTCGGAAGAAATGGGTGAGCTTAATTAATTGGTAAGCAGAATAACAAACTGAAAAAAATTCTCACACCATGCACTCTTTAGTGGGTGTTGTATCAGATCATTTTCCTTCACCACACTGATGCTGTCTGAAGGCACTTTATTTGATAACAATAACTTGCAGTCCCTGTGCAAATATGCACTCTCTAAAAGGCCTTCATTTGAAATGTGCTGGAGGAAAGCTTTATGGATACCTTGGACTGAAAGAAAGATGAGTGGGTTCTAGATCAGCTCAAACCTGAACAATCTCTGGAGGGAAAGATCTTGAAACAAAGGCTGCCCTACTTTGGGCACACCATGTGAAGGCAGGATTCTGCGGAAAAGACCATAAGGATGGGAAAGGTCGAAGGCAGCAGGAAAAGAGGGAAGACCAAATACAAGATGCACTGACTCCCTAAAGGAAGCCACAAGCTTGAGTCTTCAGGAGCTGAGCAGGCCAGTTGAAGATAAGAGTAATTTGGAGATTGCTCATTCACCGGGGTCACCCTAAGCAAGTTGATGGGACACAACAACAACAGAACCCCTTTCGGATCTGGATTGACAGAGGTTGCTGACCTGCCCTGTCCTCCAATCCCTCTGCGTCGGTCTCCTCTTCCAGGCACCACCTCCGTCGTGCTTGCTCGCCTCTCAGCCCGTAGTAACAATGTCCTTGAGCGGCTTCGAAAACAAATGGATCAACATCCCGCCACCCCTGCAAAGGGCGCAGCGGGACAGGCCGCCCGGAGGAACGATGGGACTTGAAAGTTGGCCTGGCCAGCCTGCCTGTCGCCTGTCCGTTTCGGTGCCCGGCGCCACCCGTAATCTGTGATGTTGGCTGTCACTGTCTGTGTCCCGGGGGGGCGGGGGAGAGCGAGAAACCTACCAAGAGGGCAAAGAGGGTTATGTTGCAACCTTCTGCCTTGTTTGCAGTCAGAGCATCGCACGGCGGTCCCTTTTGACCTGAATCGAGGCCGACGGCTTTGAGCCTCGTTCTCTAAGGAGAATTTTTTTCCCAAGTGACCTTTCCGGTAGGAATAATTCACTTTGTTCAGTG